CTCTCTCTCTCTCTCTCTCTCTCTCTCTCTCTCTCTCTTACTTTTTACCCCCTTTCTCACTTATTTTCCGTCTTTGGCCCTTTCCCTCTTTCTTTGTTTCATTTTTTAATCTTTCTCTTCCTTTCTCTCTCTTTCTTTCTCTTTCCACCTGCTTACCATCTGTGTCTCTCCCCTTCTTCTCCATTATTGTTTGTTTCAGCAATACTGTTGCAACCTTTCATTTCTCCGCACAAGCATTAGTCCTCATTTTATCCCATCATGTTTTTTTTCATTTAGTGTATATTTTTTGTATTATTGTGTACGTATTTGATCTTAATATCTTGGTGTTCTAGCATGACTTTTGAATGGGTCCCTTATATAAGGTACATTGCAATAGGAAATTAAAAAATAAAGAACTGAATGTTCAAATATTCCATTACTCTATTCACTGTTTCATACGCCCTGTTGTGACATTGTTATGAGATTCTTTATCAAATGCATTCCTCGTGTAGAATTATTGTTCAGAATATTTTTTTCAAACATTCGCTAATTTCTAGCGTTTTCTTCTCGGCAACATGTATTTATTTCGGACATTGTATTTATATGGTACGTTCGGTACAGTTTGGTCTGACAATTTTTTCTCTCTTGATTTCACTTAAACACTATCCTGCCAAGTAGAACGACAGAGTCAATTTGCGTACTTGATTCACATCCTCTCTCTCTTCTGTTCCATCATTCTTTTATTTCGTTTTTAATAAATACACGTAGCATTTTTCATTTAAACAAAACACCAGAGTTGAATCTGAGAGCAATGAAATTTCAATCGATTCACGAGCACGAAATGTGATGAATGTGGACTCTCGTTGATACAAACAATTGTACTTCAGTGAAGTGCGATGCATTGAAGTTTAAATGAGATCATGTCTAAGTTCCAATGACGAACAACGTAAAAGCGAAACACTAACGCAGCTATGTTAAATGTTAAAATGTTTATAAAACCTGTAACATCACGGTTGCGTATAAATCCAATGCTACTGTGACAATTGCATAGTCTCGTCGTCGAAAATTGCTGTATTCGATAATACGTAACAATGACCATTACCCAATATTAAAGGTCTTTTGAAACGCATGTAGATCCATAACAGAAAATACGTTTGTAGTACTGAACTGATAATGAAACGGGAATTTATCACGGAAATGAAACGTAACAGTGAATGCACTCATACAAAGTTTAAAAGAGTAGTAACTTCCACAAGCAAAACCAAATATTCTGGGATTATTCTTTCGAGGTGCCGTGTAGTGGAGTTATTCCATGAACATTTTTCTGTAGTTCAGAAAAATGAATCCAGGGGTCACAATCTGTGACAATGTTTCATTAGATCTGTTGTCCTTCCAACGGTGCAAAAGATCGGCGGCTATTGTTTTTCTTGCATCTCAATTTAATTGTAACTATATTGTGAGTCATCGAGCACAAATTTTCGTAAAAATCAAGTGAACCACGGTAGCCATTTCGTTACTTTTTTCAATTGACGTTAAAGAGCGTAATTTACAAATTGTTTCCGGCAATTTTTTCGAATGATGTCATCGACGCGCTCGATATTCTTTGCAGTCACCGTTGTGTGGGGGCAGTGGTGGCACCGAAGATAAATTTGAGGGCAGGCACAACATTCTTGAATGGGAAGAGGGGATTTTGAGGAAAGGGAACTGGAAACTAAGGAAAAATTTAATATTCGAGAAACCAATATTGTTTTTAATATTTTTAAAATTTCAATCCTACAATGCAAGGAATGAAGTATAGCATTTTACATTGAACACGTAATAAATAAACTTAGAGATTTTCTGCCTATGAACACTACCAGCACCTAAACCATAAGTAGGATGTTTTCCAATTTGAAGAAACCGGTGTCAATCTGGATAGAGTCGAATCTTTGAAATTCTGAAAAAAATTCTTTAAAATTTGGAACTACTTTACATGAATTCCCACGAACATTTTCAAAATTTTCTCAAAAACTGTTCCAAATTTTTTTCTTTCAATTTCTTGTAAGAATATAGTAAAACACAATTATAATGGTGGCATAGATCTGATTTTCAGGTTTAACTTTCAATTTCCAAAAATGTCAAAATGTTTCCAAACTACAAAATTTAAAAAAAAGATTTTTCTACAAAAAATTATTCTTCATGGTGAGTTTTTTCAGTAAGGTCGTGTACTTTTTTTGAAAATTTTAGTTGTTTTCGCGCGATATTGCGAGCACTATGTGCAACTTTGCAACATTAAAAAATTAGAAAAAACATTTTCTCAAAATCAGCTTCAATTTTGTTCTTTCAAATTTTGGTAGGAATATTGCTAAATGTACTCTATATGATGACATAAACGCCACATTGCTCTATTCTTTTGTTTCTGAAAAATTACAAATATGTTTTTCGGGCCCGTCTCTCACGGTTAATATTTCTACTAGCGGCAATTTGTTCACATTATTATATTTATAGGAATATATATTTTAAATAATGCCACATACAGTTTGTTGAAAACTCAACAGTTTTCTATGACTCAAAAATCCGCATTTTCAGAAATGCTCAAACGTCCTTTTCTCAAAAATAGCTCCAAAGTTTTTCTTCAAACGTTTAGTACGGATAGTGCTAATTGTATTTTTTAATATGAAGCAATGACCATTTCGAGATTTTTTTATAATTACACAAATATAATTCTTTGAAAGATCTCACGCCGCTAATATGCTCATTTACAGCAATTTGTAAAAACTTGCATTTGTGAGTTAATGTGCTTTAAATGACGCAATGAAGTTTTCCGAAAACTCGAAAAGGTTCTGTAAAAAAGAGCTTGGAATTTCGAATTTACAGTAAAGCTTAGGCGCATTTTCTTAAAAACGGGTCTAAATTATTCAAAGAAAATTGCCCCGAGGACGAGGAAAAATAGGACGAGGTTTTATTATTCTTTAATGTTCTTAAAATAATATTTCCGTTCTATTATTAGAAAACCGAAAAATTAAGAAAATTTCAGAAAATGAGCGGTGATAGATGGCAGCTGGCAAGAGTATCTGGCTAGTCCGAGTAGCTAGTCCCATAGAAAAGAGACCAACGAAAATAGAAAACTAATACGGGAAAATCTGTGCCATTCTGTAGCACCACTAGTTTATAACTCCACAGCAATGATCTTATGGCAACGCTATATTTTGCTACATTATAATACGACACACTTCTTGAACTCTCCTAACCAATGAAGGAAAACGCGGACCATCCGGCTTTTTGAATTCTGAAATCGGAGAATAGCGTGGCCAACAACTACGTTAACATCAAATACTATGCAGAAGAAATGGAAAGATGAATGAGTATTATTTCGGAGGGCAGTGCCCCTTCAACGTCCCTGCCGTAGCCGCCACTGCGTGCACGCCCTCTTCGCGGCGCATCTGGAGGTGAAGCTCGTCTGCGGCTCCACAACCGCGTCGTACCTAGTGCCGAACTATGCTAACATACACTGTAGCATCACCAAAAACATTGAAACGTTTTGTACGTAAGCTTCCGCGGCTCGAATCCATGAATTCTCGGCTGTCCGGGAGACGCCGCGTCGTTGGCTGGCGAAACGTCGGCACCCCAGCCAACGACGCGGCGTCTCCCGGACAGCCGAGAATTCATTGAAACGTTTGTGGATTCAGATAGTCGTCACGGCTTCCGAATTCAATTACAACATTGTTTTAATCGCACATTGACGTCATTTTGCCGTTTTGCAAGGCTGTACAGTATTACCATCTGTAGACCGGCAAACTTGCCGAGGAGTGTGGAAGAAGGTCAGAAGACGCGAAACATATTCTAATTGTTTCCTTCCTTGCTTCCTTGTATCTAATAATTTGTTTATAGCTTCTGACTTGAAAGAACATGAAAATTCACAATGAAAACTATAAATGGCAAACAAACAATTAATGCTGGTCAAAGTTATCAACCAGTGTCCGACCCTGTCGTCGTCCTATTTCTCTTTCCGACAGGTCATCGTTTTCTCAGGGCTAGATGATTTCGTCGACGACAGTTATTGGAGGGCAGAAAAGAAGAGATGACTGGCGAGACGAGCAAGAATGTTGGAGGCACATCCTCGAATGTGATCTTTATTTTCTAATTCTAAATTTTCTAACAGTACTGCGCTATAATATTTGGTTAAAGTTTAGTATACGGTACACCCTTAGAGAAGCGTGGCGGCGGGGCTTAAGTCATAATTACTGTAGTGCTCAAAAGGAATTGAGTAAAACTTACGAATATGATATTTTTGTAGTTTGCCCTTTATATGCTTTGTGCCCGCCGGATTGTAATGCCAATTTACTTTCAAAGGCAAGTTTTCTCGCTTCGCTCGCCCGGATCGAAGTCACGGCTAGACACGGGCCTTCGACACCTGCGGTCACTATAAAAATCTTTGAGTCTATCCAACGCACCAATTCTCTTTTATAAGAAAGCACTTTTCAAGAAAGCCTTCAGAATTCTAACTGCCTAGTTAACGCCGGAACGGCGCGAAGTGCCGGTTTAAACGACTTCCTTAGGTTGTACCGTATACTTCATTTAAGCCTAATTTTTTAAACTAATATTTGACTAAACTCCAATTTGTTTGGAGTCTGCTTTTAAAAAAAATATATTCTTGTAAATGCTACGCGCACTCATTGAACCTAGTCATCTTTACGAGAATTGAGAACGCTCAGAGTAATAAAAGCATATTTCAACCGAGCAGTTAGCGGTATGATGATAAACTAATTCCATATACCCATCATACGATGAAATATTAAATAAACGGGGATATTGCAAAACCCGCAAATTCCACCTTCAAAAATTTGTCCAAAGTGTGAGGGAACGTGAACGAAACAGACAAATTTTTCTCAAAGCGAACTTCAGTTAGGGATCTGCAATTATTCTGATTGCCTCAATTTCAATCTACTCTTTTTTGATAACTCTAGCCCTTCACATAAAGCATTAGCTGTCCACCACGAGTTAATCGAAAAACAATTACTATCGTCCGAGGTGAAACTCACATGGTACACGTCATCTGTTAAAAGGTTGAGTCGTCATATTTTGGAGTCTTGTTTCTCAGCAGCGGCATATTCCTCTGCGACGCAGACCTCGTCTTCGGACGTCTCCTGCCGTCCCTCTGCCAGCCGGGCGGTTGAATGGGAAAGGGAGGGGAGGGGAAGGTGGAGAGGGGAGGGGAAGTGGGGAAGAGTGGTGGGAGGCGGGAGGCGCAGCGCCGGAGCGGCAGAGGGCGAGTGCGTCAAGGGAACGCCGAGGCGTGCCTCCTCTGTTCGTTACGCGCGTAACAAGAGCGACCGTGCTGCGTTCTGGCGGAGGCGCTGCGACTCCACCCGATCCGGCAACGCTCTTTTGTCGCCCTAATTGTTCGACGTCCCCGCGACGTGGTCCTCGCGCGGCGCTGTTGCTGCTGCTGCTGCTGTGCCGACACGGCGGGCTACGAAGAGGCACTTGCGTTTGCGTATTTTTATTCACAAAGAAAATATACATTTCAAAGCGTGCGTTGAGTCACAGAAGAGTTCGATTTTCAAACACTCGCCGTTTGCGTTCAGTTTGTTATTGCCGTTATTTTGAGTATTTTGTACTTTCAGAAAGTCGAAATACTGACCAATGTCCAACAAGTCGTTGTAACTACAACTAGGAGAAAGTATTAAAATATTAATTAAAGAAACCAACGTATTTCGGAAGAGGGTACATACTTACAAATTTGAACAAGGAACGGATAACAGACGTGGATACATTTTCATAGGACAATATGATAAGAGATGTGTGAACAGTTTGCCAGCCGTAATATTCAAAACTATTCCTCGTAATGTACGTAATCGTAGAAACATAATGGAATTAGTTTATTACCAGTAAATTAAGAAAAAATGGTGTTTTCTGTACTATAATAATACTTAAAAAAGTATGCAGTTAAAGTTCAATACAGTAAGGTGTGAAGTGCATCAAGGAGTGCTGAAGTGTAGGACTGCCAAGAGCAGAAGGCTTGCATTGAAGTGCAAGGGTATGTAGTGCTATGTATCGACGTGCAGTGTAGTGCTGACCAGTGGAATACAAAAAAAGTTATTATTTGTTGTATTAATATTGTTATTATTATATTTATTTTTCACAGTTTTCACTGATTGGCTCGTCACCCACTCACAGGTATAATGATCAGGGATGTGGTTGCTTTATTGGTGATTGAGGTGATTACTAACAATACGGCATGTTGTTAAGATAACTGAACATGGAAAGAAAATATAGGGAAATAAGTGCCATTTCAGAATTAAAAGTACCCTAAAACGTATAACTCTTCCGTTATACCTAATCTACGGTACCGACCTCACGCCCCCAACCATTTCCCGCTCACTCCTTATGAATCATCAAGCTCGTATAATTAATAAGGTGTAATCGGTAGGGAAAAATAAATGCAAAATTTTATGAAGGGCGCCAAAATTGAAGTGTTTAGCTTTACCTAACATATGATGGCGGGGACAGTGAGATCCGTCAGGGTGGGGGTGAAGTAAATTACACCATGCACACCTCTTCGGCTGTCATTAGACCTTAAAACACCATTGTTCATCAATTCCCTAATATATTAGGGCCTTTCAGAAATTATTTTCGCAAAAGTTGACATTTTAGAGACACAGCTTAGGCGGTTCAATAATAAACGAAGTGAACTCTACAAACGTATGACCAGAGCTTAGGTTGAAGTTGATTTTAATCTCAATTGCATCATGTATTACTCCTTTGGCTAAGAAAAAACGTTCAAAACTAGGTACTATGTTCGTATCAATTGGCCAGAATGAATGTTCTCCAGTTGATAGTGTCATTACATTCAATTTGTTTGCTGTTTTGTGTAGGTTTTCCCCTTTAATGTATTAAGCCTTGAGCCCCACTGCAAGTGTTTGGCATTGTAGGCACTGCCGACTATGAATCTCTTTTCAAGTGTTTTTGTAAATGCAACAAATTTATATTCTGTTATTTTATGTTTCAGAAGGCAATACACAGATGTTAAGGTTAATGGTCTACCGTTCCCTGTAATAATTACGGACGTAGTCTGCATTTCTTCTCTTTTGAATCCTTGAAATACCAAAATTGTTATATATCCTCCAAATCATTACAATAACCTCATTTTGCACTTCACAAACCAAGGCAAGTAATTTTTTTAGAATGTCACGTAAGAAAATAAGAAATGAAAAAATAGCTGTTAAATCGTGATTCCTTTGCTTTCTCCCCATGTGTTCGTTTCGATTATGGGGAGCATTAAGACATCGAATACCTCTCAATACCTTTGTGCCCAAAGCAGACACTGTCATTGCTTCAGGAAGGCTTGTAAATGTAGATTCGGGTCGCCGATGACAGCATGTTCGAGTCGAAATGGGGCCTCTCAGATAAACGGTCAACATAATTGCAAATGTCACTGTCGATGCCTCAGCTAACGCCGTGATGCTCTTCCTCGCCTTCGTATTTACAAGTCAATGTGGACATACACTAATGAATCACGGAGTTATCTGGTCAACTGATTAAGTACCAGTAGAGTAACATGAGCATGTTCAAATTATCTCACCTTTCAAGTACACAAAGAATTATGTCAAAACCTATTTAGAACCCTAAGAAGTCTGACTTACAATATAATATATAATGTATAATATATAATATATAATATATAATATATAATATATAATATATAATATATAACATTATATATATATATATATATATATGTGTGTGTGTGTGTGTGTGTGTGTGTGTGTGTGTGTGTGTGTGTGTGTGTGTGTGTGTAGAAATAAAACTGCGGAAAATGGTAAGAAGAAGAGAAAGATGAAATTTATAGTGTAGTGCTACTGAGGATCATGTCCACAAACTTCCTCGGTCAGTTATCTCTAAAAAACTTCATAGTTTCTAGGACACGAGTCTTAAGTAAATTACGTATGACATATTCTCGGAGAGCTTTTTCGCAAAATATGCATACCAATTCTGGGATCCGGGTTTGATTTTTGGCTACGATCCATGTGAAAATTGTGATAGACAAAGCCACAAAGCAGGTTTTCTCGTGGTTCTCCCTCTTTATAGTTCTTATTCCACTAACCATGACAATCAACTTCTCATTATTATCGTTATCTTACCATTAGATAATCCAAAGGTCGCTGCAGGAATCGCAAGGTAGTTCATATTATATATTGATTATGAGGGATAAAAAACCAATGAAAAGACATCAAACCACAACACGTGGTGAATATATTGTCTTTCACACTCAATCAAGAATTAAATAATTACTCATCTGCGTCACCTCAGCAGTTGAATGATATCTTAAACGAATAAATTATAATAAATAAGAGTAATTTTTCCGAATACTGAATTCCGGGAAGTGTATACTCATACTTAGTGTCATCGGCTAAAATTTCTTCAGATAGAAATTCTCGGTTTGAGTTTCGACGGTTCGACTAAGCTAAGAAATATGGTTAAATGAAGTCACTGTCAAGATGAAAATTCTAGAGGCCGCATATTCTGATTTCTTCCGAATAATGACAAGCGGATGTTAGCTATCAGAACGGTAGTCGTAACACTCAGAGAGTCCGGAGCTAAGTGATCATCTAGGTAAAAAATACTCACCCCATGTTAAATCTAAAACAGTCCTTTAAACTGTCACAAAATATACTCTGCAGACTTCGGTTCATTTATGTCAATACTTTCATTATTTACAGCGACAATTTTTTATTAATTTATTGTGGTCACTTTATAACGTCAAGATCATAAGTGACCCCTGTCATTGAACAATTGTATGTATAAACATAATAGCGACAAATTTGACCGGCCTTAAACCGTACAAATTAACTAGCGTCGAAAACTTGTTATATTCCGATCTTTTTTGTTCAATTAATAATTTTATGTGCGAAAAATAAAATATTGAAGATTAAAAAACACAATAGTGTGAGCCTAAATCACTGGCGTTAATAGTTTTAAATTAAATATGAAATGAACCTGAATCAAAACTTTGTAATTCTACATTTCAACCACACATCTCCCCTTATTCACAAATCCTCCTACAAAGAGTGACAAGAAAATTGAGATTAGAAATTCTATTGTATTAAAAAATAAAAGTAAACAACTATACTCGTATATGAAACAAAAAGAGCATTACAAGTATGGAATACTAAAAACTGCAAGTATTGCATTTATCTAATCTACATTATTTCTTGCTGAAACAGCATGCACGGTACAATATGGGAGATCTATATTGGCTTGAGTTAACCCAAGGCGCTTAAAACTCACACTGTTAATTAGAAAGTATCTTATTATATTGCAATAAATACATTACAACTAATATTTTTACTCAATTGGCCACAATAATACAGTTAAGAGAATTATAACCATAAATTCCAATATTCAATTGCAGGTAGCTCATTCATGACGCTTCTTCCGTTTAATTGATCACATTAGCTACACACACACACACACACACATCTAAGTAATTATTAATGAATGTATTGCACGAAGCGTAGCGAATTCTGTTGTTTAAAAAATAATATATTTTAGTAAAATGAATGCAATTGATCAAAATAGACCTTTCTTATGATCCCGGCGTACATTACATTCTTCAATTCAGTGCCCTAAATAGTTTGATATTTGATTTTTACTTTCCCGTATACGTACGTATATACGAAGTAATACACATAGTATAGGGAAAGTTATGTCTTGTAGCAGAAAATTAATTTTAATTTTTCAACGGAAATAGACGTTTTGGGTTCCCCTGATACCGAAAATGTGTTTTGTTCTTTTTGATAACGGCCGGCTGTCTCCGTTCGTTTCAAAACATCACTAGCGCCTAAATCAAACCTACGATTTTTTTCCAAATTGAAGGAACCTCTGTTCATGTGGCTCGAGTCCAATCTTTCAGATTTTAAAAAATTCTTTAAAATTTGGGGGTACTTTATATTAAGTCTCACGGACATTTTCAAAATTTTCTCAAAAATGGCTCCAAATTTTTTCATTAAATTTCTTGTAAGAACAGAGTAAAATACACTTATAAAGGTGGCCTAGGTACAATTTTCACGTTTAACTATGAATTTGCGAAAATTTTTGGATATATTCCTACGACTTCAAATAGATTTTTTTCTTCACATGACGCCGTGAGCAAAACGCAATACATCAAATAAAAAAATTTAAATTTAAATTTAAAATAATTAAAAATTTCTTAGTTGTAC